GGAGGAAGCGGAGGACAGCGTCATCTTGTCAACAAGTCCTCCTGCTGACTAGGTGCTGGTTTTGATTAGGCAATCTCCTGAACGCAAAAAATACATCTTGTGCACATAAGCAATGTGCATTTCAAAAGCTTCAAAAACCATTTTAGCAATTAAAACTATCAAATCTAAATCTATGATGTTTCCACAAAGTGTACGAGATAGCCAGGAACTCAAAGTGAAAGTTTTTGCATACAACCTGGAACCTGGCTGGACAACAAAGCCTCTCTTCATACCCACGTTGAAAATCTTGTAAAGAAATCGAAGCTTTCATTTAAAAAGTTTCCATTTTAAACAAGAAGAATCTTCAATCAACATTTCTGACAGTTTTCTTCTGCCAGCTTAAGGTTAGAAGTTTTGATATTTAACACCCTAATAATTAAGCCTAGTTATGGTCACACAGCAGCTCTACTGTATTTCTACAAGCGGGCAGCAGTGTACTCAGAGATTTCAGCTCAACCACAGCCTCAGTAGCACTTCGATTCGGTTCGTCTATCCTTACGGCAGCTCAGCTTTCACAGGGAAAATAAGAGAAATGAAGGCAGTTCTGTGAGGAAAGCACTTTCTTCTTGATTTATAAGCAGATTTTTCTTGATCACAAGCTTAAATTGTGCCGCTTTATATCCCGTGATACACATTTATGTCATTTTACTTCCAGGCTAATTTTGATGTGAACTCTCTCTGCTGCTCTGCTTTCTGTGCAGTGTCACAAGTGGCTCTCTCGGAGCTATTAACAGTAAATAGGGGTGATTTTCCTTCATCGTGGCCAGCAGGATATCAACACAGCTCCCTCAATTATCGACGTGCAGCCCAGACAGTAACAGAGGAGGGCTGACCCCCCCCCCCAGAAAATGATGGAGGCTCTATTATCCTTATCTTCCTCCGCCAATTCTTACTGCAGGTAATAGTGTGCCAGACAGAAGCTCTTTAGGAACCACAGCTGATTGTGGAGTCTAATAGAGTCAGGATGGATGTGGCTGAGTTTAAAGGTGGAGACGTTCCAGGTCAGAGTCGACACATGAAGGCAAGCTTAATGGCTAAAGGATACAGCCTATATAAGCTTTATAAGAATGTCCCCATTCCACCCAGGCTTGGTTTATATTCCTGCAGAGTCTCAACTGTCCACAGGTGGATGAGTCACTAGAACCGTTGAGTCAGGAGGAGTCGAAAGCTTTGTGCAGGTTTTTCCTGCCGGCCGACAGCATCTCAGGGCTTAATCCCAACTGTGTGCATGTATGGAGGGATGACAATGAACATCTCTTTCATCTTAAGCTAATTAACCAGCACCTATAGAAATGGCATTGAAAAGCAAAGAACAAATGGCAAATGATGGATCGAGATAGAAACTAGAGTCCTAGTGTTCATGTTTGAATATAAATGAACCACCATGTGAAGTGACCAGTCAAAGAACTAGCAAGTCATCTCAATTCACATAAACACATTAATTCACAAATCTGGCTCAAACTTCAGAAACTATCTTAAAACCTGTACAGCAACTTAATGAAAACAGAACAACTGCATGTGTTGAACTCTGCACCAAACATTTATGCACAAGTTGCTACCAGAAACACAGGACGTGCATAACAGCTTCAAAACAAAGCAGTTATAGGTGCCTACCTCCTAAATGAGGCACCAGCCAGGCTTACAGTCCATCCCCGAGCTTCACACACAAAGAAGAATACTTACTTACTGTATATGTACATACACATACAACACTTAAAAGTGCACACTCAGGGATGCATCAGCTGGATAAAGCCTTATTGATTCTTTCTTCCTACGCAGGAACCAGGACTTCAGAGACTCAAACCGTTATCAAATGTAAAAAAAAGTGTAAGACTAATTGCAGGGAGCATGACACCTGACCAAACGCCCACGGTGACGCGCGCCAACGAGCTCTGGGGGGGGGACTTAGGATGCAGGGGAGAGTCTGCAGAGAGATTGAGCAAGGAGGGAAAAGAAAGTGCTGGAGAGGGGGCAAGGGGGAGAGGGGATGATGGAGAGGAGGACAGAAGAACAGAGATCAGGATAAAGGAGTAGAGAAGGAAGAGGCTGACAAAGCGACTGGAGTCCTCTGGACCTTTGCCCTCCCCCTTCTGGTTCGCCATTGTAATCCTGTTTCGAGTGTATGTGGGTCATTTTTAACCCCCGCCACAGTAAAAACCTCAGCGACCTCCTGTTTTTCTGTGAACTGGCTGCGCCGCCTCAACATGCTTGTACTTTAAAATGGGTCTTTTTTTCTCTGCAGGAATTATTTGGAAATTATGAAAAACATGAAGTAACATTACCACTACTTGTATTTATTTATTTTTGGAGGGTGTTGTTTTTGGTAAAGACTCATTATTTCAATGTGACGACTCACATCTAAAACCAAACTCTTGTTTGTAGGTGCAGCAGACCCAGCTTTGTGCTGCGTTGTAGAAGACTCACGACTTTCTGCAGTTAATATAAAACTCCACCATCTGTAACTGTAGAGAACCAAGATATTCATCGGGTCTGTCCATACAACATTGTATATGTGAAAGCAAACCAAGAAGAGGGAGCCGTGTAGAGAGCCGCATACTGGCAGCCGCAGACAAACAAATGTTCCTGTAACACCATGAACAATGTCCCTCAGCACTACACCCAGGCCTAACGAGCTGCATGGCCACCAGCCGCCTCAACAGACTCTGCTCCTCTCCACTACAGCGTTCAAACCAGTGCACATGCAGCTCCCAAAGATCAACACACTCACTTAAAAGCATATTGCTGAAAGCAGCATCACATTAACAGCAAAAGCACTGAAAGCAGACAGAGTGAAGCCAAGGCCTACCTGTGGGACGACCAGAGGCAAACAGGAAGCAAGGTGGGCAAATGTGTCCAAATAAAACTACACTTCCTCATTAGACACAGAGCATTAGCTTAATGTGAAGAGCTGGAAATCCTATGTGAAAGCAAAATGGAAACACTGTATCAAAACTTTATTCAAACATAAAAAGCATCACCTGTTGTCTTCAAAATAAAGTCTCCACTTTTCACTGCTTTTGATCTAGCACAGTAACATCACACTGCCACACCAGTGCATGGTGACTAAGATGAATAACCTTCACAGTTAGCAAAAAGACACTTTGATTTTGTTGAGAAAAAAAAGAAAAAAAAAAGCATATTAGTTTTTGAGCACAGCAACAGTCCAGTCAGTGCTGGTTGGTGTTTTAAGGAATCTGACATAGATGTGAGACTCAACTGCCAAAAATATTCTAGTCATGAGAAACTGAAAAGAGAAATATAAAGGTAATACGGTTCACTGTGATGGATTATCTCTCGGCAGCAAGCTTCAAGCCTCTGCAGATTGATTTTCATAAAAACCTTCAACCAAAAGCTGCCAGGGAAGAAGAAAATCAATCACATACCTGATGGTAGGATTGAGAAACTCTGAATTCTCAGCCCCCTGGGACTCGCAATGCTGTCATTCACCCCTGTCAAAAGTTTTTATTTTTTCAGCAAGAAAAGAAACAAAGGAACCAGACAGACTCAGGTTTGTTGTCACCAAACAGTCCCACCCCTCGCTATGGGTCTGAAGGTGCCTGATCTTTTTACTAAGGATTAAGATGCTCCTTTGCTTCTGGTTGTAAATCCCCCTTCCTCCTTCACTTCAGGCTCAAAGATGTCCTTGGACTCATTCCCACCTGGTCAGATTCATTAATAGAAGTCACTGATGATACAGTAGCAGATAAATAAACAGTGGCATTAGTTCAGTTCAGCTGCATCTGAAGGAGGCTTTGAAATGGGACAGCCTTGTCCTGGAGCTGTGATGCACTCAGTCTTCAAATGGACATGACCCCTGAATCAGCACACAGCCACTATGCTCCCGCCTCCCCTGCATCACTTTTATGTGCCATTGGATCTAATATCCATTAGATCTCCAGCAGGATCCTTGTTGATGCTCAGATTCTTTCCTCAAGGCACAGATCTGTCTAATTACTGGCCAGGATAGAGATGGTTGTGTTGGCAACTTGGTAGGGATCACAGCTCCTGACCATCTGTGACTCAGAGTTGGTCATGTGAAGGCCAAAATACTGCACAATGACAATATAATACTACAAACATAAAATCTGGGATTGAACAGCAGAGTCTGACAGAGGTGAGGCTTTTGTGTTGTTCAGCTCCAGGTCAGCTGCACTGAGGCTTTAAGAACTATCTGAGTTTCCCTGTTGGAATATTCACAAAATCCAGAACCCATTCTTATTGATTCAGTTCCATACCTGATGACTCTGTTACAGTTACAGTTTTACCCTGGGTACTACAATTTCTTCTACATTCAACAAGTGAGCTGTTTGTTCAAAGCTATAAACACATCTTCTAGATGCATTCTCTTTGAAAATTGTTAAATGGTGATTAAAACATCACAGCACTGTGCTTGTGACTTTGCACACACGGTTTCCTGTCTCTTCTCTATGTGAATGAGTTTGGTGGCTGGTTCTGCTCTGCCTGTGCCATAAGACAAGTAATTCACTGCTCAGTTTTGGATTCAGCACCTGAACAAGATTGATATGTGCATTTCTGCCAAAATAGCAATGCCATTTCCTCCTCTCCTCAAGGCCAAAATGTGAAAACTTAAGCAAGTACAAAAAGACCAGAAAGTAACTGGAATGCAGTCAAGAAAGATTTTTAAAAAGTAAAGATTATTACATTCAAGCGAAAGAGCAGGTGGTCTCGTCAACAGTGACTCAACACGGACCTCAGTCTATGAGTCAGTCTCACCCAAACATCATCACCTGGCAGGGCCTTCATACTGTGCTGTTGGTTATTTGAGTATGAACTGCATCAGTTTCATACAGACTACTCTGGAGGAATGAGGTAAGAAAGACATGACGTGATAAAGCGATGTGAAAAGAGGGAGGAGGCCCAGAGGCCGCTGAGCTGCTGGAGGGAGGAAGGGTGAGGAGACAAAGGGAAGGAAAGAAAGAAAGAAAGACTGAAGTACTCACAGAATGAAGATGACGACACCAGGAGCTGATATCAGAAGATTTCTTTGGATGATGGAAGCCTGTTTAATCTTGGCAGGGTTCAGGACAGGTGGTTGGTGCAGAGGATAGGATCCACAGGGACGAGAGCTGGGGGAAAGCTCTGGGGAGAAGACTGACTTTACAAAGAGGAAGAGAAGCTCTGGGGATGGTTGGCAAGAGCCTCTGGTCACCTGGGGCTGAGGAAATAAAGTCTCTGTTCTGTCCTCTCCGGGTCCCTTGCTGTCTTTTTCCCGTCTGTCCCTTTTTGCTTTTATCTCACACTTGATACGGAGATCGTGGAGGCTACAGGGAGACTTGTCCAGACTGGGAAGAAGACGACTCTGGAAGGAGGAAGGAAACAGTGGGATGAAACAGATTGAGGAGAAGAGGGAACGTTTTTCCCAGATTTGATAAATGTCTCGACTGAAGTGAAGGAAAACACAAATGTTTACTATCACTACCAAAAATACACAAGATGTGAAAAATGCAGGTTTTCTCTGCTCCTCTCCTCTCACACTCTCTCTCTTTTTCTCTCAAGGAGCCTCCAATGGAAAAGACAGGATGGGGGCAGAAACAGACTCAATTACAGAGGGACGGAGATAATGGTGTGTATCGGTGGCACCTGTTCTGCCTCCTCTTTCTCTTCCTGTCTGCTTTTCCACCTGACTGCCAAGATTAAGGCATATAATCAAATTCTCTTAATTGGCCCTGATGGTGGCGACCGGCCAAGAGTTGTTCCTCTGTACTTCCCTCTCTCATTTGCTTGCACACTGCAGGGAATGACAATGAGTCCTGGGCTGCTGGAGCACCTGTCAGTCAAGACTCGGGACTCTAAATCTTCAGCTGCTGATTCACAAGTGGTTGTTATCTTTGCTGTGTGCCGCCACCCAGATCTCGCCATATCATCTGTGCCACGCCCTCTGCTCCTCCTTCCTATCGATCAACCAGAGTGGCGGACATGTTCTTTTTTTACCCCTTCTTTTTCTTCTTGCTCTCTTTTTGCCCTTGTTTTTGATCCCTCGTTTGTTTGTTCTTCTCCCTTTTCTCTCTTTGTGCTTGTGTCTAATCTCTTCTGCTCTTCCTGTGTCTAATCCCCATCTAGATCTGCTGTTGCTAATTGGTTTCAGGTGTCTGGCGGCGGAGGGAAAGGAAAGTGGGGAGGGTGTAGGAGGGAAGATTTCACGCTGCCGTCACCATTAATTAAAAAGATGATTACTCAGAATACTAAGATTAAAGATGAAAATAGGAAGTGCCGGAGTCGATAATAACCCAGCACTTTACAACTCCTCAGTCAGCTTATCAGTGTGTGTTTGCTTCAGTTTTATGAGTGTACGTGTGTGTGTGTTCATACATCCAGCAGCCTTTAGCTGGTTGATTGAGCAGGTCTCTGTGGCTACATGGTAGCATGTCACCTCCTGTGAGTCGACGAATCTCGTTGAAAAAAAACTTGTCCTTTTTTCGTTCAGTTCCCTCACATCACATCGCAATCACGTCTCGAGGCTTGAGGTTTGCTTCAGTTATGTTTGTTTTTCCATCACACCCAAACAGGATCCAGGAAAAGGAAAATCCTCCCACAGACAAACCCACGAGAACCAAGTCTATTAAAAACATCCAGAATCCTTTGTTTCCTTATTTTCCTCTCCCTGCTGTCCTCAGTGCGCTAGCTGGGGACCACCGAGCCTTTGAGCAGATGCAGTTGCCATGGCACCTCTGAGGAAGATGTGTTGATTGTCTGTTGGCTGAGGTCAGTGGGGTCAACCGGAGCACTCACACCTGTGGCATTCTGGGAAATGATGTATATCGGCACCACGCTGAGGAGGGTCTGATGAGACCTGTAAAGACAGGAAAACAGTTTTTGTTTGGATTGTTTCTTGTCTGGTCAGCGAAACTCCAGTGTTGGAGATGCTGATGTTCAAAAGGAAAACGGTGTTCTCCTTATTGTTAAGAAAACTTTTGGAAAACACAAATGAAATGAGTGTTCTTATTTATGGAAATCAGGTATGACTTGACTTATGCCAGTACTCGACCACGTGATAGAAATCCTCACTGTGTAATGTTGTGAGGTGAAACAACACAACAGGCCGGGTGTCATCAGCTAAATACAGGTCACTGGTTCTCCTCATGCCACAACTACATTTCTCATCAGTGCCAGTCAAGTCTCATAATTTGTCCTGTTTCTAATTACTCCGACACCCAGCAAGCTCAAGATTACACTCTGGCCACATTATTAGGTACGCAATAACAATCAGAATCAGCTTTACTGGCCAAGTATGCTGAACACACAAGAAATGTGACTGTAGTCCAGTAACTCTCATAAAATAAAATACATGCATTCAGTGTTTATTTCCACATAAGTGAAGAGGTTGATAAAATACAAAGAAAGAAACAACACAGAGACCTGAGCCAGATAAGCGAGTTATACATGAGATAAAGACAAAAAATAGGATTATGGAAATCCTAAATTCTTCAAGCTAAAAAAAGCCTACACAACAAAAACAAAACATCAATAAGTGCAGACACGACTGGAGTCAATAAAGCATCTGAATGACAAGAAGAAGAACATGGCGGGAAACAAGCCACCCAAAGCAGAACAAGGAGAAACAGAAATCCAAATGGAAAATGAAGCCGGAGTGGAGTGGGAGGAGTAATAAGGAGTAATGATGAGTAATGCTGTGGAGAAGAGCAGAGGAGAGAAAACACATGTTCACCTTGTTAAACACGAAGAGAACAAGTAAAGAAGAGAGTAGACTGGACTGGAGTTTGGCTTCAACTCTGACATCAGAGAACTAATCAGGGTTGTAGAGTAAAGTGAAAATCCCCCATGGTAGCATCTGATTTAATATAATAGCTGTAATCTATACATGTTCTTCTTTTGTCAGGAAACAGGTCCTGTGCATCCTTCTTTGTATAGTCACATCTGTCTGAAACAGATGTTAAATGTAATTTAAACCAGAATTCTGCCTCCTGTTCTGGGCTGTTTGGTTTATTCTCTAATGCAATTTAACAAAAGACTGCTCCACAGGTTTGGCACTCCTACAGTAAAACGCTGCTGAACTCACAACAGACAGGGACCAAAATCACTACAACAGAACCAGATGTGTCCTCCACATATATACTTTCACTACTTTCACAAACTGAGGGGGAAAATGTGCATTACAGGTATAAATTCAGTTGTACATGCCTACAAAATTTACTTCACAGGTCCAAAGCAACATGTGCAGGCATTAGGGATGGGAAGCTCATCTGCCTTGTGTGTCCAAAAGGAGGAAGAATCCTTCATCCACTTGTAATAATGGTCGTGAAAAACAAGAGTGAGAGAACTAACTGATTTAAACCTAGACGTCTGATGTCTGGGTATTTGATTTGAGGCTTTTAACAACAAAATATAAAGCATTTACTGTAGGTTTAATTTTATATTGAGCTTGATTATGGTTTTCTTCCATTAGTGCTCTCAGTGTAACGGGAAACTGTACAGAAATGAAGATAAATTGCACACATTATGCATGAGAGCTGTGATTACCAGTGAAAAAGTGTTTGTGTGTCGTGACAGAGATGCCTACCATCAAGCTGGAACCTGAAGAATAATTATTGGACAATCTCAGAAAATGTGCTTTGAAAACACACGGTCGTCATTCTGTCTGAAATAACTGCGATTTACTATCAGAGTACAAACTCTGCTCAGAAGCGTAACCTGCACTGGAGCTGTCATTAACACCCAGAGATGAAGAGCTGAACTGCTCAGCAAACAAACAGGAACCATCCCTTCTGTCTGCAGCTCCAATCTGTTTTTATCTCCATTACAGTGAGCCGACTCATGCTGGCAGCTCAGTTTAGGGAAGAAGATGTGTTTTATTGCCACAGAGTTGCTTATTGCATAATATCACCAGTATGTGTTGTGCCAGCTACAGCAAGTAAGTGGAAATGTCAGTGACTGCTGCTTTTCAGGACTCAGCTTGTCCACTTCAAAATAGAAGAACTCTCCTCAACCTTTTCTGATGCTTTTAGACCAGAGTTGAAGGTTCTGGCAGAGACACCACCAAGTCCTTGACCACACTGTCACGTCATGCATTAAGACACCCAGTGTATCAGCTCCTGTTCAAATTACTACCCTGAACTGGATGTGATCATTCTGGACAAGCTGCTGCACATAAGGTAGCTCCTAGAGGCAGCAAAAACAACACAGTGACCACGTCGACCTTTGTTCATCTTGGTTAATATTTGTTGAAAAACATTAAGAGTACATGTAACTATTGTTGTGTTTATATTTTAATTTGAAGCAGGTCCTGAAACTAAGTCAAACTATAGCCATTAAAATGACTCGATGAAAGTGAAATAAGGAGCCATGTGTCACCTACATGTTTAAAACCTTCAGATTTAAAATACGTCTTCTGAGCTGCAAATCACCACAGTTAACAAAGTGGCATGGGTCTAAAAGATGGTTCATTTGCTACAAACTAAAGTTTTGGACAAACAAAATTTGACCTCACGGTGACACCAGAGGAAAAGTCAGAGCAATTTATCCAGATGATAAAGTCAGAAGTAACTGACTGACTGCCGTCACCCTCCACGGGCCTGAACAAGGGAAAACCCCTACTGTCTGTGGCTGTTCACATGTACTGTAATGCAGTTTCTCAAGTATGTCCTCCACAGCACCATTAGATACTAACTGCCAATAATGTATTTGCATTTAAACTCATAAAACGTGGATTCAGTGCTGCTGTTCTTATCTTAGAGTTTGCAGTTCTCTGCTGCATTAGACAGATGCATACAAGCTGCCAAACCTAATGAGCAGCTCTATGCAGAGCTTCACCCAAGGTTGTCTGTCAGCAGGGGGCAGTAACACCGCCCTGGTTAGAACACTATCAGAACCAGCTCAAAGGGGGTCGGCTCTGTTGGGGGGGATGAGTCAGCAATCAAGCTGAGTTCCTGTTGGATTCCACCTGAGAAGAGCTGCAGACAGACTGGATACATCTGTGTGCAGCTTGACTTTGAGTGGGAGGCACACGAACCGCAGCTATTTGTGAAGATGATGGTGATACATTCTGTTTTACAGATTAATTTCTCTGATAGTCTGAGTCAAGACCACGGGAGCCACAACATGTAAAATACTACTTCAATAATGTGCAAACAAGCTCAGTCCAGTTTAGAGAAGATCTTCTGACAGCATATAATGTTAAAAACAGTAGTCAGGTGGCAGCTTGGGTGAATGGATGGTATAATATTTGGATTTTATAAACTTTAGTTACTTTTTATACCTTAATTTTCCTTGCATATCAATATTACAACTGTATTGATAATTGTCAAAAACTGCTGAGTAGGAATTGTCTGCCAGAACTTTATGGAGAAATAATGTCTGCATCTTTAATTAACCAGATGGTCTGTTTTGCATCTTCACATAGACCCACTTAGCATTTCACAAGTTCTGCTTTGTCATGTAACAGTTTGCAGAGTTGGGAGACCTACAATTTGAGAGGATCTCCTGACCTATTGAACATTTTCGCAGGTCTGCTTTGTCCTGTAATAGCCTAGA